TGGGCAATTCATTTATTGTAAACAAGCCTAAATTATTTTATCTTAAATACCTACCTCACAGGGAAGTTTCATTGAGGCTTAAAATGAGTTAGTGTCTACAAAAAAAGTCTGTGATTAAAGTTTTGCATAGATTTAAGAGCATTTTACATATGGCAAAACCAAGTGCTTAATAATGTTTGCTTTATAACCAACATATTGGTGTTATTTTGCCAAAATAATGAATCGTAAATTTTGCAATACCACAACAAAACACAAGAGGGGGCTCGTTTACGTCTATTTCAGTGTGAGGTCATTTAACACACATTTTGGGTCATTTACTAGGTCAAAGTCTCTGAGATTGTTAGAATTTTGAGGAGCTCAAGAAAACAACTCTGCACTTCATTTATCATCATGATACATTTTCCACAGTTGCAGTTTCTAAGAAGTGCTTTGGTCAGAAAACTAAACAAATAAAAGAGCAGTGTCCAGGCTTTTCCTCATGATTATTACATACCGAAATAATGAATAATCCTACACTGGCTTGAAATTCAGCCTATTAAGATCATATTCAGCCAGGCTCAGTGGTTTAGCCTGTAATCCCAGTACTTTGGGAGGCCGAGAAGAGTGGATTGCCTGAGCCCGCGGGTTCAAGACCCACCCGGGAAACTTGGCGAGTCCTCTTTACAATAAATCAAAAATTAGCTGGGCGTGGTAGCGCGCACTTGTAGTTTCCGCTACTTGCAAGGCTGAGGCGGAAGGATCGCCGGAGACCAGCAGGTCGAGGTTGCAGTGGCTGGGAGCGTGCCACTGCACTCCAGTCTGGGTGACAGAGTGAGACTCCAACTAAAAAAAAAAGATCATACTCATCCTTGATCTGTATGGAGGGCAGACAGATTTAGAAGACACATGTTTTGGCCGGGCTCGGTGGCTCAGCCTGTAATCCCAGCACTTTGGGAGGCCGAGGTGAGTGGATTGCCTGAGCCCGCGGGTTCAAGACCCGCCTGGGAAACTTGATGAGACCTCATCTCTACAATAAATCAAAAATTAACTGGGAATGGTAACGCGCGCCTGTAGTTCCAGCTACTCGGAAGGCTGAGGCGGAAGGATCGCCGGAGTCCAGCAGGTCGAGGCTGCAGTGGCCGGGAGCAGCCATTGCACTCCAGTCTAGGTGACAGAGTGAGACTCCAACTCAAAAAAAAAAAAAAAAAAAAAAAAGACACATGTTTTAGCAAAAGTTTTAGCATTCACTGTAGTCTAGAGGGTTTCATTGAAATCTCTGAGGCCTTCAGAGGCATCTCATAATTATTTGTATCCTCAGTCGATCATAGCCAGTAAGTGGGTGGTTTGGATCTGAAGAAATCAAGGTAAAAAGCTCCAACAACCAGCAACAAGCAAATGGAAGAGAATAAAACATTCAAGCTAGAAGATATTACAAATGTGTACCTGTTGGTTTAAGGGCTCTGAAGCAGTAAAAAAACTATCAGATATACTATGTTGCTTATTTTGCAAAAGATAATGACTATTCTTTTTTTTTTTTTTTGAGTTGGAGTCTCACTCTGTCACCCAGACTGGAGTGCAGTGGCCGCTCCCGGCCACCGCAGCCTAGACCTGCTGGGCTCTGGCAATCCTTCCACCTCAGCCTTCCGAGTAGCCGGAATTACAGGCTCGCGCTACCATGCCCGGCTGATATTTTGATTTTATTGTATAGATGAGGTCTCACTGCCCGGGGGGTCTCGAACCCGCGGGCTCAGGCAATTCACTCACCTCAGCCTCCCAAAGGCGCGGGATTACAGGCTGAGCCACCGAACCCGGCTATGACTATTCTTATTTTTAATTCTAATATGAGAAAGAACTCTCATGCATTTTTTTTTAATAATCATCCCTTTAAGCCAGATGTGGTAGGTCATGCCTGGAATTCCAGCACTTTTGGAGGCTGAGGTCAAAGGATCACTTGAAGTTAGAAGTTTGAGACCGCCTGGGTAACATAGTAAGATCTTGTCTCTACAAAAAAATCAAAAAATTAGCCAGGTGTGGTGGTGCATGCCTATAGTTCCAGCTACTCGGGAAGCTGAGGTGGAAGGATCACCTGAGCCCAGGAGTTTGAGGCTGTGGTGAGCCATGATCGATCATGGCATTGCACTCCAGCCTTGGTGACAGAGTGAGACCCCGACTCAAAAAAAAATTATCTCTTTAATCATTACAGCTTGATGGTTAAGAGTGCAATCTTTGAGACAGGCTTGGTGGCTCAGCCTGTAACCCCAGCACTTTGGGGAGCTGAGGTGAGTGGATTGCCTGAGCCCGTGGGTTCGAGACCCACCTGGGCAACTTGACGAGACTACATCTCTACAAGAAATAAAAAAATTAGCTGGGCATGGTAGCACACACCTGTACTTCCAGCTACTTGGAAGGCTGAGGCGGAAGGATCGCCGGAGCCAGCAGGTGGAGGCTGCGGTGGCCGGGAGCGGCCACTGCACTCCAGTCTGGGCAACTGAGTGAGACTCCAACTCAAAAAAAATAAATAAATAAAGTGCAATCTTTGGAATTAGACCCATGCTGTGAGCAAGTTACTTAACCTTTTTGAACCTCAATTTCCTCATAATAGTATCAATCACAGGTTGTTGTGAGGATTAAATGATATAAAGCAAGACACATAGCACTGTTACTGCCACATAACACACAATATTGCTCTTATTATCTCTGATACATCAACTTTATTTTATTTGTAATTTTTTATTTATTTATTTATTTTTAGTCAGAGTCTCACTCTGTCAACCAGGCTGGAGTGCAGTGGCATGCTCACGGCCACCATAACCTCAACTTGCAGGATTCAGGCAATCTATTTACCTCAGTCTTCCAAGTAGCTGTAACCACAGGTGCACACCACCACATCTGGCTTATTTTTTTATTTATTGTAGAGACGAGAACTCACCAAGTTGACCAGTCTGATCTCAAACCTCTGGGCTCAGGCAATCCTCTCTCCTCCGCCTCCCAAAGTGCTGGGATTACAATCATGAGCCACCGTGCCCAACCTGGTACATAAACAGTAAAATACCTGGCACATAGTAGGACCTCATCAGTGGTGTTGGTGGTGATGGTAACAAGAGCTAACATTTATATAACACTTTCCATGCATCAAATATAGTTCTTAGTACTTTTTGGTGTATTATTTAATTTCCCTAACAACCTTATGAAGTAAAATCGATGGCCGGGCTCGGTGGCTCAGCCTGTAATCCTGCACTTTGGGAGGCCGAGGAGAGTGGATTGCCTGAGCCCGCGGGTTCGAGACCCGCCTGGGCAGCGAGACCTCATCTCTACAATAAATCAAAAATTAGCCGGGCGTGGTAGTGCATGCCTGTAGTTCCAGCTACTTGGAAGGCTGAGGCGGAAGGTTGGCCGGAGCCCAGCACGTCAAGGCTGCAGTGGCCGGGAACGACCATTGCACTTCAGTCTGGGTGACAGAGTGAGACTCCAACTCAAAAAAAAAAAAAAAGAAAGAAATGAATAATTGAGTATGAAATGGCTACTAAATGCTTCTAGAAATGATGAATGACCATGCCTTTTGCATTTGTTCCAATCGCCATTTTCATCTGCCAAATTTTGTATTTATTCTTCCAAACTCAACAAAGAAATCAACTTTTCCGCAAAACTTCCCTAAATCACCCAAGAGAAATAACTTATATTCATTTTTTTTGTTTTTCCCTGTGTATCTTTCAAAAGCAGGAATATATTTTTATGCATTTTATTTTATTTTATTTGAGTTGGCATCTCACTCTGTCTCCCAAGCTGGATGGAGTGCAGTGGCAGGTTCACAGCCACCCTGCCATCAACCTGCTGGGCTCAGGCAATCCTTCCGCCTCAGTGTTAAAAGTAACCTGAACTATAGTCATGCGCTACCATGCCTGGCTAATTTTTTGATTCATTGTAGAGATGAGGTCTCACCAATTGCCCAGACTGGTCTTGAACCCATGGGCTCAGGCAATCCTCTCACCTCAGCCTCCCAAAGTGCTGAAATTAAAGGCTTGAGTCACCACGCCCGTCCCATTTTTATGCACTTTAAATCCTAGGTTTTTTGACCCTCTGTCACTGAGCATAGTTTATAAATCTGACTTGGAGCCTAAAAAGTCTGACTTGGGGATAAGCCAACTGTGGAGCAAATGTACCCGGAATATTCTCAACCAGCCCTTCACAGGAAAGATTTCACTTTATTGGAGTCTATGTACTTCATATATCCATTCCTACAGTGAGAGTAGCAGTGTTTTGTAATGTTCTAAGTAAACCAAAAAAGTTGCAACCTTATGTTGATTCCCAAAAGTCCTTTGAAAATTTGACTGGTCTGTACATCTTTTTTTTTTTTTTGAGTTGGAGTCTCACTCGGTTGCCCAGACTGGAGTGCAGTGGCCGCTCCCGGCCACCGCAGCCTCGCCTGCTGGGCTCCGGCGATCCTTCCGCCTCAGCCTTCCAAGTAGCCGGAATTACAGGCGCGCGCTACCACGCCCGGCTAATTTTTTTGATTTTATTGTAGAGATGAGGTTTCGCCTGCCCAGGCGGGTCTCCAACCCGCGGGCTCAGGCAATCCACTCACCTCAGCCTCCCAAAGGCGCGGGATTACAGGCTAAGCCACCGAGGCCGGCTTTTTTAATTTTTAAAAAACTGGTCTTCAAACTAAAACATTGCAACACAAAATGTTCTTTCGTTCTGCCTCTCATTAAGAAATATAGGCCAGGCTGTAATCCCAGCACTTTGGTAGGCAGAGGCTAGTGGACTGCCTGAGAAAGAAAGAAAGAGAAAGAAGGAAGGAAGGAAGGGAGGGAGAAGAGATGAAGAGGGAGAAGGAAGACAAGAGAAGAAAGGGAAGGAAGAAAGGAAGAGGAGAGAGAGGGAGAGAAGAAAGAAAAAAAAGAAAAGAGATGAGAAGAAAGAAATATAGTTTGCTACAAAAGACTACATTGCCCTTGATGGGAAAACTACATTTCCCATGATGCCGTAGATCCGGAAGGACGTGAGTCTCGACGCTTCTCGTAATTGCTTATAGACCGGAAGCCGGTATCTTAGTTCTCTTTCCCATCCTGCAAGGTAGGAATGGCGGGGTTCTTATGGCTACTCGATTTGGGGACCCCAATCCTTCCCCATCCGAGCGTGGACGGCATCAAGTCGACACCTACGGGGGTCAGACACACCCAGAGCCAACTGAGAGGCCTCGCAGACGCTTCATTTATTTCGCTTGGGTTTGCGGCGGGGCACGAAGGAGGATGAGGTGGAATGCGGTAGAGGATCTCTCCGGCTGTTCGCCATACGATATTGGGCCGGAGGAACGGGACCCTTTTGGGGGTCCATGACAGGCTGGTGGGGTTGGAGAAACTTGGGCGACGGCGCGGGCTCTGGAATCCCGGGTCTGGGTTCCAGAAGACGCCGCTAAGTCTGTGTTAGCCATGTTGGGGTTTAGGGGCTGAAGCCAGAAGTTTTTTTCCCGGTCTCCCTATGTCCCCGACCGGAAGTCGCCTCTTTGCGCTTTCTTTCAGTCTGAGCTGAGTTTAGGATTAATGTGTTTGTGTCACCTCTTAAACGGAACTTCACGAATGAGACGTTGGTCTCAAAAAGTTAAGAGGAAAGGTCCTGAATGTTCAAGTTCTGGTATCGCTGCTTTTTGGGTGCGGAGACTTGGATAAAGACTATTGAGTTTTTCAGTTCGCACAATGCGAATCATAAAATCATGATGTAGGACTTTTGCTCACTATTTAGCAGAAACCTAATGCGTGTGAAAGCCTCAAAAAGTGTGTAGTGTCTTGAGACAACCCCAAGGTGAACCATAATGAGGATTTGGGGGTAGAAGTGTAAATTAGTTTGGGAGAAAGACCTATCTCTTAAGAGGGGAGGGGGAGTTAGGGTGAGCTTAGCCCAGTTTCAGTATTGCCTTGTTATTGGCTGATTGCTGAAGTGCGTTTTTTTCCTCCAAATACTGGTAGATGGCGGGTGAAAAAGTTGAGAAGCCAAATGCTAAGGAAAAGAAACCTGAAGCCAAGAAGGCTGATGCTGGTGGCAAGGTGAAAAAGGGTAAGCTCAAGGCTAAAAAGCCGAAGAAGGGGAAACCCCACTGCAGCCGAAATCCTGTCCTTGTCAGAGGAATTGGAAGATATTCCCGATCTGCTATGTATTCCAGAAAGGCCTTGTACAAGAGGAAGTACTCAGCAGCTAAATCCAAGGTAAGGAAGAGGGAAGCACTGACCATTGTATCTTAGCCTTCATTGTCATCCTCTTACCTTGTGATGCATTTGTGTCCTTGTAGGTTGAAAAGAAAAAAAAGGAGAAGGTTCTTGCAACTGTTACAAAACCGGTTGGTGGTGACAAGAATGGTGGTACCCGAGTGGTTAAACTTCGCAAAATGGTAAGATTTAGAGACTGATAACGCTTACCAAACTTGACTTTTGTGAAGATTTTTTGTGTCCTCGGGTCACATCAGTTTCTCCTTACCAGTCGCTAATCACAAATACAGGGTCTGGGTTTGCAACTTGGTTTTAGCTTTTACGTCTAATCTTAAATAAATTACTTTTCAGTGCTTTATATCTTGATTGCTCACTTTTTTGATTTGAAGTCTCACTCTGTTGCCCAGGCTGGAGTGCAGCAGCATGCTCACAGCCATTGTAGATTCGACCTTTTGCTTAGCCTTCCAAGTAGCTGGAATCACAGGTGTGCGCCACCACATCCGGCTAATTTTTGATTTATTGTAGAGATAAGGTCTCACTGAGTTGCCCGGGCTGGTCTCAAACCCCTGGACTCAGGAAATCCTCTCACCTCCACCTCCCTAAGTGCTGGGATTACAGGCGTGAGGCACTGCACCTGGCTGCTTTATTTCTTTATATGTGAAATGGGAAGAAAGGTTAACTCATTGGGTTGTTGGTGGAGGTTAAGTGAAACGATGCATAACGCCTATCCTAGAGAACATTTATTTACCCTCTAGAGCAGTTCCTTGGCCTCTCTCAGGGCACACAAGGCCCAGTGTATTCTCTGAATACTTTGTAATTTCGATATGGAAACATTCTCATCATATTATATAACAACTGGTAATTACTGCATCAGAGGGAAAATAACATTCGGGCTGGTTTTTCTCTTCAGTGATCATGTTTCTGGTGTCAGACTGTATGAGTGTATGTATAAAATGTTAGAAATAGGTTATCGTGAGTTGTCATATCCTTAATGGCCCTTACATGTCTTAAAAACAAACCATATTTCCCTCTTCCTAACATGCAAAATATGGTGTGTCATACATGTTTTCCCGAAGGAGTTTACGTTGAGTAGAGAACAAGAACATGAGTAATGCTCACTGCCACACTGTATATGAAGGTAGCTTGTTCTGTAATCTCTGAAGTTTTATCTCAAGTTTGCAAAGGTATCTTGATTGGTGCTTATTTTGCTTGAGCACACAGCTCCTTTGTTAAATAAGTTCCGTTATGTGTTTTGCACATGAAATTATGGAAGCAGAGTTGACCTTTTCCAGGTTTAAAATCTACTTAGGATTGATGAAAATGGAATAGCACAAATAGTGTTTTGAGTAAATAAAGACTATAGCAAAGGTTTCATTGACCTAGAACTTAGTTCTCCTATCTGAAAGACTTAAATAAGTGGGCCTGTGGACTCTTCTCCAGCCTAGATATTATCCGACTGAAGATGTGCCTCGAAAACTGTTAAGCCATGGGAAAAAGCCCTTCAGCCAGCACATTAGAAAACTGCGAGCCAGCATCACTCCCGGGACCATCCTGATCATCCTCACTGGGCGCCACAGAGGCAAGGTGAGCAGAGCGCCTGCACTTTTCATTTGTGGGGAGAACTTGATCGTGTGTATTTGCACTCTGGGTGTAGCATTCCTTTACTCTGTTTTGCAGTGCAGGGAGGGTGGAGTTTTAAGGAGGGAAATGACCCATAACAGACAACCAACAATACAGACACTCCCTAGCAGAGCATTTAGTATACAGATACATCCTCTGCATCATTTTCATTGCTTTATATTCATCTGTTGTAAACACTTTTCAGTTGCTGAAAAGTTTAATCCATAATAAATAACTTGACTAACCTTTTTGAGTTGGAGTCTCACTCTGTTTCCCAGGCTAGAGTGCAGTGGCATGCTAATGGCCACTGGGCTCAGATGATACTTTTGCCTCAGCCTTCCAAGTAGCTGGAACTACAAGCAGGAACCACTGCACCCAGTCTAACCATATCTCGTTGGTTGTATTACTTGTTTTTTGGTTTTTTTGAATTGGAGTCTCTGTTGTTCAGGCTGGAGTGCAGTAGTACACTCACGGCACAGCAGCCTTGACCTGCTGGGCTCAGGTGATCCTTCTGCATCAGCCTTTTGAGTAGCTAGAACTACAGGCATGTGCTACCACACCTGGCTAATTTTTTATTTATTGTAGAGATGAGGTCTCACCAAGTTGCCTGGACTGGTCTTGAACCTCTGGACTCAAGCAGTCCTCTCATCTCGGCCTCCCAAAGTGCTGTAATGATAGGCGTGAGCTACCATGCCCGGCCGCTTGTATCACTTGTTACAAGTGACACATACCCATTTGCTCAAAAATGTGTTTATGTTTGAGCTACTTCCTTGGTAGCTTGGTGTGGTTATTTTCCAAAACTGCTGGGTCATATACAAGCAGAAATTTCCTGTCTGTGATTTGATTAATTCAGAAATCAATTCCTGATTGCAGAAAACTAATTATTTTCTGTTTAACTTACAGAGGGTGGTTTTCCTGAAGCAACTGGGCAGTGGCTTGTTACTTGTGACTGGTAAGAATTCTTTTTTTGTTTTTTTTTTTTTTGCGGGGGAGGCGGGGATTGGGGTTTTTTTTTTTTTTTGAGCCAAGGTGTCACTTGTTTCTCAGTGGCACAATCATAGCTCACTGCAACCTCAACCTGGGTTCAGGCAATCCTGCCTCAGCCTCCCAAGTAGCTGGGACTACAGGTGCATACCACCATGCTCAGCTAACTTTTTGGGTTTTTTTGTAGAGACAGGGTCTCACTGTGTTGCTCAAGCTGGTCTGAAACTCCTGGGCTCAAGTGATTCACCTGCCTCAGCTTCCCAAAGTACTGGGATTACAGGGATGAGCCACTGTGCCCATTGGGACATTCTTTTTTTGTTGTTTTTTTGAGTTGGAGTCTCACTCTGTCGCCCAGACTGGAGTGCAGTGGCCACTCCGGCCACCGCAGCCTCGACCTGCTGGGCTCCGGCAATCCTTCCGCCTCAGCCTTCCAAGTAGCTGGAACTACAGGCGCGTGCTACCATGCCCGGCTAGTTTTTTGGTTTATTGTAGAGATGAGGTCTCGCCAAGTTGCCCAGACGGGTCTCGAACCCGCCAGCTCAGGCAATCCACTCACCTCAGCCTTCCAAGATGTGGGATTACAGGCTGAGCCACCGAGCCCGGCTTAGTGGGACATTCTTAATGCCATGAGATTCTGAGCCCCATTTCATTTCCTTGTGTACATGTGGGTTAAAGGGAGGCAGACTTTGAACTTTGTGTATCAGCACATCAGGTAACTCACCTAAATTATGGAATGATGGTTTCCCCTTTTCCTCACTAAATCAGTGTTTTGTTTTGCTTCCCTTAGGACCTCTGGTCCTCAATCGAGTTCCTCTGAGAAGAACACACCAGAAATTTGTCATCGCCACCTCCACAAAAATTGATATCAGCAATGTGAAGGTCCCAAAACATCTTACTGATGCTTACTTCAAGAAGAAGCAGCTGCGGAAGCCCAGGCACCAGGAGGGTGAGATCTTTGACACAGAAAAAGAGGTAAGTTTCTATTTCTGTCATCTCCTGTGATAACACTGGCCCTTATAGTTGAGAAACAAAATAAACAGGCTTAAGCATTGTTGCATAAAAGAAAAATGAAAGGTATGAGTCCTGAGGAATGTCTGGGAAAAACTTGGTATTTCAGATTCTTCTAAATTTAGTAGCTCTTTTAGGGGTTGGGAGATCAACTTAATATCCTCAGGATGGTGGAATCCTCTAGGAAGCACTGCTATTGTTGTATTGATAATGTGCTCTTATTTATCCTTGGTGTATATTAAAGTAGACAAAAGAGCAAGAGCTGTTGTTAACAAAATAGGTTGTATTTCACAGCACTCCAAAGGAAGGATTGTCACAGTTGCCTTTAATGTCTTCTGAATATTCCTGGGAATGAATACTTGGGAGATAGAATTTCTTAGTTGACCAAGTAATTGGTGTGTGCCTGTTTTAAATGTTTTTAATTTTCTCTTTACTTAGAAATATGAGATTACAGAGCAGCGCAAGATTGATCAGAAAGCTGTGGACTCGCAAATCTTACCAAAAATCAAAGCTATTCCTCAGCTCCAGGGCTACCTGCGATCTGTGTTTGCCCTGACAAATGGTGTTTATCCTCACAAATTAGTGTTCTAAATTTCTTTGAAAGAACCTAATTAAAGAACTAATAATGTTTTGTTTGTGTCTGTTTTTTAAAAAAATTCTTGTATGTGTGGAGGTGGATTTTTACCCCTCATCAGGCTACTGGAGTTTTGCCTCTGCTATTAAGGAGGTGGGCTGGAGGGGAGTGGTGTCTCTGCAGCAGTGCCTGCTCCCCCTTAGCTTTGAATCAGTGTTCTGGCTTCAGATTGACTCAAAAACTTTTTCACCCACTTTCTACCAATATGAAATGGTGGCATCTTCCCACTCGTCCTGAGCAAGTCTAAATTAGACGTGGATGAAAAACAACTATGGAGTCTTCAAGTCACAAACTCTATTCCTCCTCCATCTGCTCAATGTCCATTCCCTCCCTCATAATCATTGCTATTGGTGTTTTTCTTTTATTTTTGAGTTGGAGTCTCACTGTGTCGCCCAGGTTGGAGTGCAGTGACAAACGGCCACCACAGCCTTGACCTGCTGGCTAAGGTGATCTGCCTCAACCTTCCAAGTAGCTGGAAGTACAGGGATGTGCCCCCACATCCAGTTAAATTTTTTTTTCTTTTTATTCTAAAGGTGTGGGGTACAATTCAGGATTAGATATACAAGTGGTCATCATACAGGGAAAGTGTGGGCTTCCCTTTGGTCCCTACTTTGCCTGGTTTGAGATCAGTTACCGTTATTGATGTGTCCTCCCCACCTCGGCAGTATTGGTATTATAGGCTTGAGCCATAGTGTCCAACCCCCAGCTAATTTTATTTAGTGTAGAGACCAGATCTTGCCAAGTTGCCCAGACTGGCCTCAAACCCCTGGGCTCAGGCAATCTCGCCTCCATCTCCCAGTGTTGGGATTATAGGCATGAGCTCCCATACCCAGTGGTGTTCCAAGAGAAGAGTTGATGCTGTATTGCTGAGACTAGGTGCAGTGTCTTCAGGAGTGTGATACAGGACGTTACAGTCTCCCAAGTAGCTGACATCCCACTGTACCTGGCTGCTGTTAATTTCTTGTATATCTAAACATATATCAAATGAGTATAATTGATTACCTTCCCCCCCTTTTTTTTTTATTCTGGGGTCTCAAGCTGGAGTGCAGTGACATGATCACCACAACCTTGACTTCGGCTCAGGCCTCCCTGGTAACTGGGACTACAGGTGTGTGATATGCTCACCTAGTTTTTTGTAGAGGCAATGTCTCACTATGCTGGTTAGGCTGTGTGCCTCCGCTTAACCAAAACACCTATATACTGGGTATACTGTTACAGTTGGTGACTATTCCAGAGAATGTGTCTATGCACATGGTATAGTATTCATCTTGTGGATATTTGGGTTCCCTTCATTTGTAATCAAACTGTTGTAGTAAATAACCTGGGGTATGCATATAGATAACACAGATACCTATAGGATAAGTTCCCAGATAGTTTTCTGCTGGTTCAAAGAACTTACCACATTTTAATTTTGGTAGATTGTCCCAAACTGTCTTCTGGATGTTATGCCATTTCATCTGCCCTGGTAATGGGTGAGACATGCCATAGGCTCCCTGAAGAGTGGGTCATGAAGCTTGGATGTTTTGCCAATAGGAAAGTAAAAAGTAGGCCTGGCACAAGCCTGTAATCCCAGCACTTTGGGAGGCCGAGGTGAGAGGATTGCCTGTGCCCACAGGTTGGAGAACAGCCTGGGCAACTTGGCAAGACCTTATCTCTACAATAAGCCTAAACATTAGTTGGGTGTGGTAGCGTGTACCTTATAGTTACAGCTACTTGGAAAGTGAGGTGGAAGGATTGCCGGAGCCCAGCAGGCTGATGTTGAGGTGACCATGAGCATGCCACTCACTCCAGCCTAAAAGAAAAGTAAAAAGTGGACTCTGATAGTTTTCAAAATGAGCTTTATTGATAAATTGTGTATGGCAGAGTTCACAATTTTGAGTGTGCAGTCTGACACCTGTGCAGTGGTGAGAGCACTACCAAGAGGATTTCCATCACCTCATGAAGTTTACTCATGTCAGCTCCTACACCACAGCCTTGATCTGCTGGGCTCAGGTGATCCTCAGCCTAAAACACAATGTATTAATAGTAATATGACAAATTGTCTTGATTTTATGGGTCCTTTTTAAGGATCTCGGACATTTAAGGAACCCTGGATCCTACTTTGGGAACCACTGCCCTAGATCCTTTGCATTGCTCCAAAAGTAGAATGAAACACATTCTACCCCTTTTAACTTGTTTTGACCAGTGGAGTATGTCATAAGTGATGTGTGTCATCCAAGTCTAGGCTTGTGCAGCTGCCATTCTTGCCCTCTTGGGGCACTGCTGCAGCCATGCTTAGAAGTCAGGGCTAACTTTCCTGAGGATGCATGAGGCCATATGGAGAGAAAGGCCCAACCAAGAGCCAGCTATGCAAATGATGCCACCAGAGCCCAGCCAGCCAGCCAGACGCAGTCATACCACCAGATGCCTAAAGCCCTGGGAATGACCCTAGGCAAGACCAGCGGAACCACACAGCAGAGCCCAACCCAAGATACTCACAGAATTATAGGCACACAAAGAGGAGGTTGTTTTAAGCAATTGTTTGATACCATAGTTAATGTTATGTATATAGGAGGTATACAAGAAAATGTTAACAATGATCGTCTCAAAGGATAAGAATAAATTGTCTTTATTTTCTTTTGCTTATACACATGAGCTAAGAAAATGCACATATATTTAATTATTTTAAAAAGTAAATTTCATAAATGTATCACTTTTTAGAAAATATATGTGGGAGTGTATATTCAGGGCAACTTGAATCTATGCTCCCAGGGGAAAAGGAAAAAGAAAAAAAAAGTATATGTATAGTTTTGCAACTAGATAAAAATATGTGTGCATAAATACAAAAGTTAAAAGGGAATATAATTTACCCAAATGAATTGCAAACATGACTACACAAAACCTGCACATCATTGTTTATAGCAGTTTTATTCATAATTGCCAAAACTTGGAAGCAATCAAAATGCCCTTAAGCCGGACTTGGTGGCTCAGCCTGTAATCCTGTGCCTTTGGGAGGCTGAGGTGAGTGGATTGCCTGAGTCCGCAGGTTCGTGACTGCCTGGGTAACTTGGCAAGACCTTATCTCTACAATAAATCAAAAATTAGCTGGGCATGGTAGCACACCTGTAGTTCCAGCTACGAGAAAGGCTGAGGCGGAAGGATCGCCAGAGCCCAGCAGGTTGAGGCTGCGGTGGCCGGGAGCGGCCACTGCACTCCAGTCTGGGTGACAGAGTGAGACTCCAACTCAAAAAAAAAAAAAAGCCCTTCAGCAAATGATACATCCATAACATGGGATATCATTTAGTGATGAAATGAGCTACCAAGCCACAAAATACATGGAGGAGCCTTAAATACATGTACTACTAGGGGACAGAAGCCTGTCTGAAAAGGCTACATACTATATGAGTCCAAATATATGGCATTCTGAAAAGGCAAAACCTGACAGATCGTAAAAAGATCAGAGGTTGCCAGGGCATGGGATGGTGGGCATGGGTGATGGGTTGGAGAGGGAGGGATGGATGAGTGAAACATAGGGGATGTTTAGGGTGGGAATCTATTATGCATGATGCTGGAATGATGGATACATGTCATTATATGTTTGTCAAAACCCTCAGAATGTACAATACAAAGAGTAAACTCCAATGTAAACAATATGCTTTAGGTAATAACTATCAATATTGTCTCACCTTTTGTAACGAACCACACTAATGCAAGATATTAATGAATAAGAGAAACGGTTAGCCAGGCGTGGTAGCGTGCACCTGTAGTTCCGGCTACTTGGAAGGCTGAGGCGGAAGGATCGCGGAGCCCAGCAGGTCGAGGCGGTGGTGGCCAGGAGCGGCCACTGCACTCCAGTCTGGGCAACAGAATGAGACTCCAACTCAAAAAAATAATAAAAATAATTAAAAATTGACCGGGCTTGGTGGCTCAGCCTGTAATCCCAGCACTTTGGGAGGCCGAGGTGAGTGGATTACCTGAACCTGAGGGTTCAAGACCTGCCTGGGGAACTTGGCGAGACCTCATCTCCACTATAAATCAAAAACTAGCCGGGCGTGGTAGCGCGCCCCTGTTGTTCCAGCTACTTGGAAGGCTGAGGCGGAAGGATTGCCAGAACCCAGCAGGTCAAGGCTGCGGTGGCCAGGAGCGGCCACTGCACTCCAGTCTGGGTGACAGAATGAGACTCCAACTCAAAAAAATAAATAAAAATAAATAAATAAATAAAATTATCCGGGGGTAGTAGCGCACGCCTGTAGTTCAGCTACTGGAAGGTTGAGGTGGAAGGATCACTGGAGCCCAGCAGGTGGAGGCCGCAGTGGCCGGGAGCGGCCACGGCACTCCAGTCTGGGCAACAGAGTGAGACTCTGACTCAAAAAAAAAAAAATTATGTACTTTCCACTCAATTTTTCTGTAAATAATAACATTGCTCAAAAATTAAAGTCTTTTTTTTTGTTAGAGTCTCACTCTTACCCAGGCTGGAGTGCAGTGGCACGCTCACAGTCACCACAGCCTCAACTTGCTGGGCTCGGGCAATCCTTCCACCTCAGCCTTCCTAGTAGCTGAAACTACAGGCAAGCGCCACCACACCTGGCTAATTTTTTGATTTATTGTAGAGACAAGGTCTTGCCATATTGCCCAGGCTTGTCTCGAACCCATGGGCTCTGGCAATCCTCTCCCCTTGGACTCCCAAAGTGCTAGGATTACAGGCATGAGCTGCTGTACTCAGTTTAAAAATTAAAGTCTCAATTTGTAAAAGTATATGCATATATATATATATATATAT